AGTATTCCTGCTCAGTTTTCCCTGTATATTCATATGTCACAGTTCTGTAGGGAACTGAGAGTCATTTCTTCTTGGAGAGAGTGCAGAACAAGTGAAATATCCTTGTCTAATACCCTAATATCATTAGTCTTTTCTTCACTCAGGGCAACAATTATGGGCATCTTTCCCAGAGGCCGGTGATACACACCAGCTGTGAAGGATTATTTGTATTTGGTGCTTGGTAAAATTTCTCAGAAAAAATACCCAAAGACCTTCAAAGAGCACCCTTTTTCTTTTAATCTAACAGAAAGCCTACTGACAAGGAGTTCTTTTGTAATATTTATCTAAGCCATAAAAAAGATCTTGAAAGATATATCACAAACAGTAAGCCTTTGTTCCCAGACTGGCCAGATAAAGGCCAACTGCTATTGTGAATATTTGTATTGCTGCTGTTATCTGATTAGATCAAATCTACTTACTGAAACAAAAATAAAGCTCCACGCTTTTGCCCAGGCTCTAAGCCATCATAATCTATGCATTTGTACTCATAAAAAGCTGTGCAGTCTAAACACACTTTTCTTCCTGGGGCCCCTCTAGCCAATTACAATCTACAAAAGAAACAATTTCATTCACCAGATGATTAATGAATGTGCCCCTTCCCACCCCCTCAGCCCCTCCCTTAAGTTGCTGAGATGCTTAACTCAAATACAACATTTTCCAACTTAAAATCAGGAAGCATGTTAGGAGGCAAGTGAGCACTGGGACAGTTCCTATCATTGGTGGGGAAAAACCTAAGACAAGACAATAAGGCGTTTAAGGACCCGACAGAGCAGAAGGACCATAAAACCCAGACACTGGTTTGGGTAATCAGAAGCTACCTATGGGATGTAATGATCTAGCTCCTGTTCATCATCTAGATTGATTTGTTTGTATTTATTTGTTTGTTTTGATATCCCCTCAGATTATATGATAAGATGCAGCCACACAAAGACAATGTGACTCCTCTATTCTTATTATATTATAACAGTTCTCTAAAAGAAAGCAGTCTCCAGATGGATTGGAAAATAAATTTAAAAGTACAGACTGAACCATGCTCTGGGGGACAGGAGTAAACTGGGTAGGTGCAGGGAGGGTGCTGTAGCCCCAAACGGGTTGTTTTTAGCCCCTGTCCCTCTTTCAAGCACCTCCCTGCCAGAACAGCCAGCTGGGCTGGTTGTTCCAGCGAAGCACTGGTCCCTCTGCTGGCCCCAGGCAGCCTCTGTGTCTGACAGAGGACAGTGAAGGCAGGGAGAGCCTCAGCTAGGCTCCAGAAGAGGACTAAGGAAATTAACTTCTCAAGGCTTCAGCAAGGACAGTGAAGATTGCTGGGTTGGTGTTTTTGGTTAGGTTTTTTTTTTTTCAATTCGGTGCTATAGTTGCTTGCCAGCAGACATGCTGGTTAAAGCTGAACAAACCACCCGTGGGCAGTCACAGCCACCACTCGGGTATTCTTGCCTCACACCCCGCATCTATGTTGACTTTCTTTTTCTTTGAAAACCATCATGTGATAACCGCCCTAGATAATCTAGACTAGAAGCCACTCCAGGGAAGCAGCGTTTCCCTCCTATTAGTTTCCCCTCCCTTTCAGCTATCGTTTTGGACTGTGTTTTTCACAAAGTGGATTTAGCCCAGGCACAAAAGGTCCCTTTTTTTTGTGCTCGCAGGATAATTAGAAGCAGCCAGGATTAAAACTCTCACCTGGAAAAGATCAACGTGATAATAGGAAAAGGACTCTGAAGAACAACAACCGAGTTTTTAACTTGCAGGAGTCCAGCTTTCACAGATGTGATGGGAATTCTTGAAGCAGCAGCAGAGGGTGGAAAAGCAGAGGGTGGAGAAGCAGGATTCAGACTGTACCTCCTCAGGTTACAAGCAGAATTCTGTACAGCCTAGCCTGCAAAGCTAACCTTTCTATAAAGCCCATCAGCACTGCAATGCCTGTGAAGCAGTGGTCAAGCATAAAACAGGCAGCAAAGATGACTAAATGGCTAGCCAGAACAGAAATGGCACGTTTGCCACACCTGCACTCCTGGGACCAAATCTGAGCGCGTTATTTATTAAGGAACTATTAATAAATAGGGAGTAGGTGCCTAAGCAGGGAGTAGGGAGACAGGTGCCTGAATATGTAGAGCCAAATGGAACAACTGATAACAAAGAGATGTTTGCTTTTGCAAGTATGCTTTTTTGCATATGTGTCTTAAGAAAGACAATCAAAAGATAACAAGCTACAAATGAGCAGTGGCAGAAGAACCATAAATGCAGTAGAAAAGAAAGATGGACAGCCAACCTGCCCGGCATTTAAGTGAAGTTAGAAATCTGCTCCACTCTTTCCTGGAATGGAGGCATTGAAAGGATACCTTCTGAATTTCTTTGAAATAGGCTTTAGAAGCATATATATCCCAGCTCAAGTGCTTACCTACCGATTATCCTTACGCAAGATGGTTCCAACCACGAAGCCTGGTTGGCACACAGGGTAACCTGCATGAAAGGCATTTAGAGTGGAAGCAGGAGACTGAATTACACGCTCCATGCCGTGCATGTAGCAAGATACACTCCTGATTTCTGAATCTGGAGGTAAGACCTGTCATCTGACACCTAGGGCCTGCCAAAACTGAAATCCTCACACAGGGTGTATTTTAAGTTCTGTCCCCACGTAGCTCGTTCTGCAGAGAAAGCTAGGATTGTCTGCATTTAGCACATTATTCTATCACGTAAAACAGCTACACTCAAATCTGTTTTCCACACAATGAAATGCCCAACCCTTTCATCTAACAAATACCCATTAGCTGTAGAAGCACTGGTTATTTTGGACTGGGGGCACTGTCATCCTCTTGTGTTACAGCTCTTCCAACTGAGTGAGTAACATTCAAGATTTCACAAAGCCATGTTCCAGCTTAATGAGGAGCTGGGGGAGGCTGTGCACGAGGGCCAAGGAGGGGAGGGAGGTCTGCTGTAGGCAGCTTCCATATTTTGACTATCATAGAACGGCTGGGTTGTAGGGAACCTTAAGACCATCCAGTCCCACCCCCTGCCCTGGACAGGGACACCTCCCACTAGACCAGGTTGCTCCAAGCCCTATCCAGCCTGGGGTTGAACCCTTGAACACCTCAAGGGATGGGGCGGCCACAGCTTCTCTGGGCAACCTGTTCCAGTGCCTCACCACCCTCATAGTGGAAAAATTTCTTCCTAATATCTAACCTAAATCTCCCCTCTTTCAGTTTAAAACCATTACTGCTCCACTCCCTGATCAAAAGTCCCTCCCCAGCTTTCCTGGAGACCCTTTAAGGACTAGAAGGAGCTCTAAGGTCTCCCCAGAGCCTTCTCTTTTCCAGGCTGAATGCTCCCAACTCTCCAGCCTGTCCTCACAGCAGACAGGCTCCAGACCTCACAGCATCTCTGTGGCCTCCTTTGGCTCTGCTCCAACAGGTCCATGTCCTTCCTGTGCTGAGTGTGCACATGTTCAATCCAGAAACCATCCCTTGAGAACACCTTCAAGACCCTTCTTACCCTCCCCTGCAGTGCCTGCCTCTTACCATCTCCATCAACTTCTGGGAGTTCTTGCGCAACGACACAGCTTGAAAAGGAAGCTGAAGAGAGCCAAAAACAGCCTGTTGTCAATCAGGAGGAAGCCGTGTGTCTCATTTGCCTTCAGGCAGACTGAATGAACACTCCCATGAATACTCCTAGCCACAAGCCACAGAATTAAAGGTGCACAGTAACAATTCACCGCGCCATTTTAAAACAAAGCAGTGGCCACGGCTGTGTTTTGGGCTGGGTCTGAGTGAGAAGCACACACGGTCTACACCGAAACACCCCTGCGATACAGCCAAACGAGATGCTGATTAATTAGCCCTGTCTGACTGAGGCGTTGCTGGGTCCTGCAGATAGGACATGTTTTTCTTGCTCGGACACCAAGGCGAGCAGTGGGGAACGCCACTGGCACCCAGCAAGCTGGGCTCCTCCACCATCAGGTGCAGCTGAGGTGGTGCCTCATCAAGTCCTGCCTCAGGTGCCTTCCCGCCTTTTAGGAACTTTGCACCAAACATATCCATTTTTTTTTCCCTTAAAAAGAGCCTAACAACCCCTGTCTGCCCTGGAAGAAGAAGGAATGCTGAGTAATTTTTGAAAAATGCAAAGTGCGACCCCAGGTACCTAAAAGTTCTCCTAAGGGTGGATAACACATCTTCTTCCTTAAAGGGTGGGTTGGTGGGTGTCAGGAGGATGGGGAGAGTCTTTTTTCAGTGACAGGACAAGAGGTAACAGGCACAAACTTGAATCTAGGAAGATCTATCTAAACTTGAGGAGGAACTTTTTGACTTTGAGGGTGGCAGAGCCCTGGAACAGGCTGCCCAGAGAGATGGTGGAGTCTCCTTCTCTGGAAACATTCAAAACCCGCCTGGACGCCACCCTTGCAACCCCTGCCGTTCTGTGGTGATTCCTCAGCGGCTGAAGGAGGGAAGGCAGAGAGGGAGAGCGGAAAACGAAGAAGAAGCTTCACACTTACAGAGGGGTAGGCTCGTGAAAGCCCCGGACATCGGCTCCCGCTCCGCCCGCTGATCCCGCCGCCACCGCCCCTCAGGCCGGGCCCCACCCGCCCCGGGCCGGCAACCGCCTCACAGCGCCCGGCCGCCCGCTCTCACCTCCGCCGGGCCCGCACCGCTACCGGCCCGAGGCCACCCCTCCCCCGGGGCGGAGCGGCCCTTCACGGCAAGGCGGAGGGCGGCGGCCCCGCGTCGAGGGGGTGCAGGGGCGGCCGCAGGGCGGGAGCGTCGCCGGCGGGGTGGGAAATCGGCCCCTCAGAGCAGCCGCGCTGAGGCGGGGTCAGGTGAGGGGGGCCGGGCTGAGGGGAGCCGGCTGGATGTAAGCGTTGTAATCTGTCGGTGATCACACCGACTCGTAAACAAAACGTAAATATTTGTGTTTACTGGCTGCCTGAGCTGTTTCTTCTGGTCTCTCGCAGGTGGGAAGAGCCGGCTGATCGCTGTCCCTTACCCCCGGCACGGCCTACCCGCTGAGGTACACTTAATCCCACCCAAGTAGGTGGCTGCTCACGTTCTTATCCTATTTCTAATCGTCATTATATTCCATTTTCTACCTTAACTTATACTAAGTAGAATACTTAAGCTTGCTAAAGAAGATTGAATGATAGCTCTGTGGCTGAAGTGATTTATTGGCCTGTGACTGTAATTCTTAAAAGAGGGATACAGGGATGGAAAAGAAGAGAGGACAGGGTAATTTTTATTAAAAAAAAAAATATAGTAATTTACTTTTTTTTTGTTTTGAGTTTAAATACGATTTCTGGAAATTGATGCTGTTTGGAAAAGTGGCCACTTTGTGAGCTAGCTCTTGAGCAGGCTGCTGCCTGGCCGTGTGGGCAGCAGGGAGCTGGGGACTTGGGAACATTGCACAGGAGACATAGGTGCCTACAGCATTGCATCTACAATATGCCTCATGGTAACCAAAGCGTGACCTCCTCTGGACAGTTGGAAATGCAGAGCTGAGGGTCGTGTCTTAAGATTCAGCTTTAAATAAAATGAGGCTCCACTCTGTTTGGGTTGCATAACTCTCAACCTCTTTTTTTTTTGGAATTAAATGCCTAAGGCACCTTCCAGCGAGTTGCAGACCCTTCTATCCCTCCGCTCAATGGTCAGATCACTCCTTCCAGAGCTGTTCTCTTCCTGGTAGGATCTGAATTCTGCTTCTGTCCCTGATGTCCCCTGATGTCCCACCAGACCATGAAGATATCTTGATAGGAAATTCTCACTCTTTCCTGCTTAAGCTTCTGCTTTGTATGGAATTGATTAGGACAGAGATGTCACCAAAGTACCTATCTTCATGCTAATCTGAGCTATGTACCTTTAATTACTGAAACTTCTGTCACTCCTGTATTAAGTGCTTATAAGTGATTGCATATATACGTATTTTAATGGTATTCATGCACCTCTCTGGTTGCCTGTGTTATATTCTACTTAATGTTAAACCGGATGAGGGATTACAACACACTCAAGCAGTGAAACAATATCTTTTAGGCCACTGAAAACAGGACCTGTGTATCTGGAAAGAAACAATTTTGCTAAATTTGGAATACTGTGTTTAAAAAAACCACAGGGAATTGGACAAAGCCAAATAAACCAGTTTAGCAGAAGTTCTACCAAATTCTGTCAGGTCACATGGAATATTAGACAAATATCTGGAAGCAGATGTTGTTCTGTGTAAATTTACAGTATGAGGAAGTGGTTGTGATACTTGTGCTCAAATATGTAATTCTTATTTCCTATTCTGTCCTGCTTCTCTCCCTTACTTATAATTGAATAGATGGAACTGGATACCTGAAGTTCTAAGTATTTTCAGTATTACTCTCGCCTGTAATTAATAGGAAAAGAGAGCAAGTCTGTAGTAAGTTTCAGTTCTACTCAGCCTGCCACTGCAGCACCTCTTTCCAGGCGGAGACAGTGAGAACCAGCATCAGGATTTAGACGTGTTTTACCCCAGTTTACATGTCTCAGCGTGTGTCTAATGCAGAGGCTTCACTTCCAATCCTGTTGCTGTAGCTTGTTGACGCAGGTGGGAAACACCTAGGCTTTTGTGTATCCTGTCAGCTTGGGCCTCTAACTGTTTGCCAATATACAGAAAAAGCTGAGGTAGTTTATATTGAAGTTACTGAAGCAAAGCCTGGAACCCAGTGACAGTTTAGGTGCCAGTTTCAGATTGTGAATAAACTTTAGAAGTGGCTGAAGCAGCAGGTGAGCAGGACGGCTATCCTTTCATGGCTATAGGCTTTGAGCACCTTTTTGTTAAACAGATAATGCACATTTCAGCATGGAAGCAAGGTACTCGCTGCTGCTTGTTGTACAGTCAACTGCTGCTAACAAGTGGTCACAAATTTACAGGAGTGTTTTTTGTGAAAGCTCTTGCCAAGTTACGGTTGAAATTCCAACCTGGAACTTTTTTTAGTTTGGTGCGTTGACTTTGATTTATCACTGAACAGTGCTCACACACTGTTATTATAATTGCAGACTTGCTTCTGGATTAAATCTTTTTGATTCAGATATTAAAACCCTCCAAGTTTAAAATGTGTAAACCACAGGACTCTAAGAGATGCCAATATATCCAGCTACTGTGCTTGTGTAACTCGGAGAGGAGAGAAACAGTGAAGTTGTCTGTTAACACAGCCAAATTTTTTGTAGAGCTGTGCTGACATCTTTCAGTGCCTTCCTGCACAGAGGAGTAATGGTATTCCAAAGGATGCAGACGAGCGTGTTGTATTTTGGTGACAAAAGGCACACCTACATAAACATCTCCTGTTGTTCTGTCACTTGCAAGAAACTAAAACAAAAGTTGTCTTCCTGCCAAGGTGTTTATGTTAAGCAGAGACATGTTTCTTGCTCCTCCATTGTCTTATGCAAGTCACACACACATAGCAAGCTAGACACCTGGCAGGCACCATAAGGGATCAGGAAAGAGGGAAAAAGCAAAGGTGTCCTCTCCACTATAAACATGTAAGCACCAAAAAGTAGGAACAATTTCTTACAGAATTTTCCTGTGTCCTAGATGCATGCAACTTCTTGAAATTAAGCTCCAGGATACCAAAATTTAACCATATTACTGATTTCAAGAAGATACCATCTGTGAAAGTTCATTTATAAAAGATCAGTAAACACTTTAACAGACTTTGTAACAAATAGTCCCTTTTCTCATATTTTGATAAAGACTGCAACTGGTTAATAGGCTGTTTATTGTCCTGGTTTATCACCAGCTAAGATGTCTTCTACCGATGTGCTTTATAATTTCCAGTGTATCCAGCTCCATTTTAAACCTGCTAATAAAATACATTAATAATGTGTAATCTTTATAAGCCCCCTGAAAATGCAGCTAGGATATAATCTTTATTGAAAAAAGGCCCAAACAGGTGCTCTCTCTTGTATTTAATGGAGCGGATTTAATACAGAAAGAATATGCTTCCAGCCAAAGAACAGGCCCTTGTGTGTGCTGGTTCTGCAAACGACATTTGCCAGTTGTAATGAACTCAGACTGTGAAATTCTAATAGCCACTGAAGGTTATCTACAGCAAATGACTAATACCTTCTAAATTAAAGTCTATAATTGCACTCTAGTGATTAATGCATTAATTTACTGATTTCTTACATGTAAGACACTTAGCAAATGTGTATCTTATTGTACCTCTGGGCTCACCTATAATGTACAATAGGCAGGTGAAATACATGATCATCTCCCCCAGGCTTCTTCTAAAGCAGGCTTCCACCCACACAAGATCAATGCTGTAATAAGGTCATTATTTCAGGAGACATGCATTTTCATATCTTGCATAGGTAATTACATACAGTTCCTTTACCATATGAGTCTCAGTTAGAATTATCATATTAAATACCATTATATTTTCCCACCTGGATTTCACAACAAACACAGGAAAATCTGTGATCTTCTTTGTAAACCTCCTACTTTAAAAACAAAACAAAACAGTGTGGGTTGTGTTGTGTGTCTAGAGAAATACTGAAGTGTTTTAGAAAGCTTTTATCAAAGCAGTGAACTCAATGGTTTGTCCACAGAATAGAGGGAATAATAAAAGGTAAATTTCTACATGTACAAGGATAATTATTCTCCCTTCACGCGTATAGGAGAATACAAAATGAGCTCCTGCAAGTGAATTTTTTCCTCATTTAGGTGGCATCGGTTTTGATCTGAATGTGCTTCTGTGAGCTTCGTTCTTGGCGAGACTGAAGACTTTGGAGAGGTAGGTTTTTGCATTTATACTCCTTTATAGTCTTGGCCACCACTGAGTTCAATTAAAAATACGACTGTGTTAATTTAAGCAAGAAAGAGAAAAGCAAGATCAGTAAAGTCTAACTGAGAAAAGTTTGATTAATTGATGAAAATGCTGTATTAGTTCTCAACATAAGGAAAATGCAACATACTACGCTTTAGCTTGAAAATGCCAATATTTTCGTTTTAACTCATATTGAAACCAAACTTTCATCTGCTGAAATGAGTGTGGTCAGATCCTGGCCTGACAGCTCAGAGCCGTGCTCACCCTGCTGTGGATTCTTCAAACTAAGATAAAAATATGCGGAGGGGTAGAGTTCTGAGGAACTGACTCAGCCCACTCTTCCTCTCTCCGAGGTCTGCAGCAGAAAAATGTACTCCTATACTTAATATATACATATGTGTGTGTGTGTGTGTGTATATATAAAATGTTATATGTGTGTGTGTGTATATATATATAAAATGTCTGACCTCCACAGCTGTAGGGGGCAAATCCCAATTTGGGGCCCAGCCAGAGGTGGCAGCAGCTTTTCCCCACAGCCGCTTGGACTAGAAGGAGCCCTTTGTTCAGGCAGCACCCACTGACCAGGTGCATTCTGCAAAAAGAAAAGCTGAGTGGGGCCGAAACCTGGTTTCATACTTATACCCTAAATACCTTTCAAATGTTGGGATTTTAGTAAAAGGGCCTGTGAGAGCTTTCCTGTTACTGTCTGGCATTTGTATGGGAGTGTGCATATACACACACACGTACAAGCTCGGATCTTTGCCCACAGACACCCTCCCAGAGTCCCACAGCCCACACAGTGTCAGGTAAGACAGGGGAGAGAGCCCCGAGAAGTAATTCCTGCAGTGTTTACAAAAGGGGAAGATGAAGGTAAAACAAAATCCAGCGGTAACACCACAAGAAATGTCCTGTGAAACTGAAAATTGTATACACTGACAGCACGCCGAGGTTCTGCATGCAACTGGGATCTGAAAGTCAGCACCTCCACGACAGCCTGGTGATTCCTCCTCCACATCTGTCAGTTAACAGCAGCGTTTTCGGCTGGGACAGCAGGATTGCTTCATTCCAACCATTTCTCCGAATGTGAAAACGGCAGGTGAATTGCAACACACCGTGTTGTGCCACTCAAAAACACAAAGGCTGAAGAGAACGTAAAAACAGCACGTCACTTCTTGCACTCCCAGGAACATCATTCACTTAAGAATCTCCAAAGCGGTTTATTAGCAAAGAACATCATACCCTAGAGAAGAAGTCCTTTACCTTTGTTTCGCATGGAAAGATGCCACATCACTTCTGGCTTAATCCACACCTGAGAGTCCAACCTTTCCAAAGTGCTTTTCACTTTTGTATGGGCTCTGCCTGTATTTTTCCTACCTCTTTTGACTCGACAGCAGCTTTTGCTCGTTTTGTGCTATCAGCACAAGCCCTAAAACACTGTTCTTATCTACACCTGTCCCTGCCATGGAAAGTGCTGCCTAAGGAAAAGAGATGCTCCAGAGCCTGAGCTGCTCTGACTCCCTGCCTGTGAAGCAACCAGCACCTCACAAATCATGTTTTGCCTGAAAATAGCACACTTGCTGTTTTCAGTAACCCCACAGATGGCTGATATTTTTCATTTACTTTGGACATTTAGAGAATTTTGTGTCTGGTCACCTTTGCTCCTGGTTTTCCTGGCCAAGTGTGCCAGTGTTTGCATTGACGAAGCTGTGCGGGTCAAGACCCAGTAAAGATGGGCTACACCAGGATAAACTTGTGTTTCTTTTGCACTAGTGTGTATGGTGCAAATCCAGAAACAGCCTTCAGCAGTGAACGGCTGGGGTTTGTAAGAGGATCCATTCTCTGTGATCCTGCCAAGGGGTAAAGCCATTGCTCAAGCAGAGCGTTTCTGTTATCACAAATGTGTGCTTTTGTATTTTTTTTTTTGCATTTCCAACCTTAGAATTATATAGAAACATTTGTGATGGCATCTGCACGTGTGAGGCCAGCTACATTTGGAATTTAAAATCTATCGCAGTCTGCTTGGCATCAGTTTCCCTGTGAGCTTTCAGCATATACTTACTGCTCGCCACAGTTGTTCCGTTTGCTGTGGCCCCACTAATTAAAGTCTTAGTTCATTTTCCTTTTAAGGTCCAAACTCTCTTCTCTCTGTAAAAGAGAAAAATATTAATCAAATGTCAAAGCCCTTCAGACTGGTGTATTTTTGCTGCAGCCTGTGATGGTTACACTGGACTCTCTCTGCGCAGCAGCAGGGGATCTGTGCCTGTCTCTCTTGGGAAACAGAATCACAGAATCATCTAGGCTGGAAGAGACCCTTGGGATCATCGAGTCCAACCATCTACCCTACTCTAAAGTTCTCCTCTACACAAAAAGGGAAACAAAGGGAAACAAAGCTTCTCTACAGAGTTTACATACAGACTTGCATCGCAGAGGCTGTTAGCGCAAAAGCACTTAAAAACACATCTTGCATGAAGCTTTGAGATTTTGGTGCAATCACAGGCAAATATTTTTCTAGTTTACATACTAGTTTTTCCTTTTAGGGTCCTAATTCTGAACATGAGTCTTGGCTGCCCTGTTGTGAACGTCCTGTTCTTCAAGTGTGTGACTAATCCAAACAGAGAAATGCATCCTCGGGGACAACACAAAAATGAGGCTACTCTGAAGCTTGATTTTTTTTTTTTTTTTGGTTGAAGGTTTTGTAATTTGTTTAGTTTTCAATGGCAGTCCCTTTGGAGCCAGTGTGAGTTGAAAATAACTCACTGCCTCATATAGCTGTGTCTGAAGAACATGCAGATACAGTGATCTGATAGTCTTGTCTGCTGGTGATGCAAAAAACTAAGAGGACAAACCAAGAAAAAGAAACACTAAAGCACTGCTGTGGGGGGCTGGTTAAATTACTATTTAATTTCTTGAGAAAGGATACCCACTACCTTTCCTGTTGAAGAAACCCAAAATCTAAATTTCTCTTGGGTGTATTGTTTGATTGTTTGTTTGGTTTAATAAATTATTTCTAGTTTTTAAATTATGCAGTGAGAAAAAAAAAGGCCTTTAGAAGATGAGACAGAGTGGCAGGTTGTTGTTCTTGCCAGAGCTGCAAACAAACTGGCCGGGGACCGACAGGCAGACCTGTGAGGATGAAATCACATTTTAAAACTGAATTTGGAAGGGAAGGAAAAAAACTCTCAAGAAAATCTGTCTGCGTTAACGGATGGAAGTAATTTCCTCCCTTGTTAGATATTCTAGAGCAGCCAGGGATTTGATTTACATCTGCTGTCTCCTAGTGACATAAAATATGGTTTGGTGACACAGTCTCAATGAAGAAACTGAAGGTCAGGGAACAATTAATCACTTTCTCGCTTGTAATTTAATATGAAGATATTTAGGATACTTTGGCATCCAAAGATGAAGATGGCACCGTGCTGGATATAACAAGTATCTAAGAGGGGACCTGTCTTGCTTTCATGTGCTTGGCAGAGCCTAGAGCCAGTTTTGCTCTCAGGGAGTGTAATGCTAACCCCCACCTTCCCCTGTGACGCTCCCCACGGGAGCATATGGCCTTTCTTCTGCTTCTTGGAATCAGGAGACAGGGGGCTCCCAACGGCACAGGCAGGAAGAGCTTGTTGCTGAAAGGGGCTCAGCAGTCCCATCCCTGTCACTGCATACATCCAGAGCCTCCTGTCTGCAGCAGCTCCTAGATTCAAAGTTTCAGGGAACGAGAGACTGCCAGACCAGAGAAAACTGACATTAAACTGCCTTTAATGATGCCTCCTCTTGGCAATTCTTCCCATTTTTCCCACAAAACAGAGAGAACATCATAATCTAAGTCTTGACAGTGATGCATCTCTCTCCAGTAAGATGTATTTGCGACAGATCAGCCCGGCACCGTAAGCCTAACTGAAATGCTGGACTCTTTGCAGCTGCCACGATGCCCTTTATAATGCCAGGCTTCAGCACTCCTGCAGCTGTATCTACGCTGCTCCTGGGTGACTGGTACCTCAGGGACTCCAGTAAGTCACTGTGGCACTTCTCCCAATTGGTTGCCCCAAATGCAATGGAAAACCAGGCAGTGGGTGTACAAGCAGGCAGCTGGCTTTCCCAGTTGGACTCACCCTCATTTTCACTGCAGCACTTCCGTAAAAGCCAATTATACCAACCTTCAGGAATGTTTATATCAGTGATAGACTGCAGACATTTATAGTCTTCATCAATGAACAGGCTAAGCAAAGCTCAATTGTTCTGCTAAACGTTTTAGTAAGTAATTAACCCTGAATTATCAACAACAGGCAGCTACGGTAATGGTTATGAAAGAAATAACAACCAGTTGCAGAGTTATTAACGCAAGAGCACTGAACGAGGCAGATGAACAGCATGTGCTGCCATGGAATTAATAGAAGGGACAACAGTGGCAAGCGGGGTCCCCTGCGGGGTGGTGCAGATCCAGGGGGCTGAGGTAGCTGCTGAAAGACACTTGCTTTGGCAAGAGCAGCGTGTGCTCAGCAGTAGATGGATGGAAGTAAGAAGCGGATGGTAATAAGGAGCGTTAAAAATAAATCTAGCCTAATTAGGTTAAAAAAAAAAAAAAAAAGGGAAAAACCAACCTCTGCTGCAATATTTCCCAGCGCTGGCCCAGAAATTAATTAAGAAATGAGACAATCTCTTAGCA